TCCAACCTGTGCAAACCTGTCCAGGGCCTGCGACAGCAGCTATTTTCCTTTCCTGTTCTCTATTAGAAGAGTTGGGAAGAACTTCCTCAGAGTGAATGGTGCTTTTCTCATTATCCATGACTCGTATCCCAAAACTGCTTGGTCTGATTCATCCCAAAGGCTCCCAGAAATTCCCTGCAGGTCACCAGAGATCACATGCAAAAGCTGGAGAAGTCCAAAGATGCTTGAGGTGAAACCTCTTCCCGGCCCTTGCTTGTGAGGAACCTGCTTTTGCCTGTGAACCACATCGCAGAGGCTGAAGGCCGGACAGAAAGAGGCCCCAAGAAGACACGTGTGCCCATGCAGCTTGGGTTGGTGAGGCCACGCTGCGGCACCCAACACAGCGAAGGGACAACCTGTTCACTAGTGGCTTCCTGTAACAGCAAAGCCAGGTGCTGGGCTGGCCAGGCTGCCTGAAGCCATGGTGCTGGCGCTGGAGGCGTGACACCTGACCTCAGGAAGGGAAATGCTCCCATCTCTCCATCTGCGAACAGAAGATGGTGTCTTGTTTGCTTTTTGTTTCCCAGCGTGGCCTAGGTCCAGCAGCGTCACGTGCAGCTGTGTTTGGAGAGTAGCTATTTTTAGGTTACTTGACTTTTCTTCTTTCACTCCATTGTCTCTCCTTTTCCTCCTCCTCCTCTTTTTTTTTTCCTTCCAGCCCCTTCTTATATTTCCTCCTCCTTTCAGCCCTGCTTGGCCTTTTCCTCCTAGCCACCTCCTGTGAGATGCGGAGAGCCTCCTGGCCAACTCCATCTCCTAGATGTGCCACCTTCAGTGTCCTGACTGTGTCCACCTGCCAACGGAGACGTGAACTAATCCCTTGAGAGCTGAGCTCTCGGGGCTGCCCAGGCTTAGACCTGTACACCTTAGAAAAGAGTCCGTCTGGAGAATGTTGGCCTGCATGCAGGGCATTACCTGATGAGGAAGGACTAGTACAGTAAAAGTCTCTCTTGGTCATCACTGTCGAACCTCTAAGAGACTGCAGGGATGTTGACTTCTCCTCCACAGCTTCTGATACCCAGGGAGAAGCCTCCTAAGCCGTATCTCCTTCTTCAGGAGAGGCTCCTTAGGGATGAGGTAATTCCTCCAAAGGAGAGAAGAGCCTTGGAGAGACTTCTCAAGGATGTGAGAGGTGCGTGTCCGATCCTGAAGTCCTTGGAGGTGGTTCTGGTCGGAAGGAGCCCATGCTGTCTGGAGAAGAAGTGCTTGCTAATGTGAAAGAGTTGTTGCTTTCTTTATCTCTGACTTCTCTGCTTTTTCTATAGCGATGGATTTCTTTCGAATGGGAGAGCTGACCCTGCAGGGGAACATGTGGCATGGAGGGGAAGTCACTAACCAAGCACGAAGCCAGCTAACCCCTTCACTGCAGTGGGGAGATGACAATTTAGAAACTAGACTGTAAATTGAGTCTGTGAAGGACCACGAAGAAGATGGAGAGGAGCACAGAGAGAGAGCCACTTGTGGGAGCCACTTGTCATCTGTGCAGCATTTGTATGAAACAGCAGGTCCTTGTTCAGATGGGAGAGGTCTTGGTATCCATTGCTGATTTGATTTTGGTTTCCTGTTGGCTTCTCTTTCGTTTCCCTGATAGCCCCTCCAGTGCAGGGCGGGAGAATGGACCCTGATCTTCCTCCTTGTTCTTCTGAGTGCCCCTGCAGATGCTTTTTGCAGGCTGATGGCCACAGTGCAGGTGTTTGAAGACCAGGAGTAGCTGTTTCTCCCTCTGAGCACCACGAATATCCGCAGAGCAGAGGGACTGCGATGAAACCATGACAAGGAGATAGTGTGGTCATAGGTTGATATTTTGTTGAGCAAGTGATAACTTAGCAGGTGGATTTTCTCCTGTGAAAGGAAGCCTCCATCTTCCTTTCCCTTTCTTCTTTTGGAGCCTGTGTTTTATCTGTCGTGTGACTAGTGGGCTTTAGTACTATGTGTCAGACATCCAAGGTCTCTGCCAAGGAAAACTCCTCTCCTATGTCATCCATTGGAGCTAGTGCTAGGCCCCTAAGTCATATTCAAAAATGGACACGAATGCCAGGTCCTGCTTGTCCCACATGATTAAATAAGTAAAAGGAAGGCACGTGGCTAACAGGAGTTGTGGCTGTAGAGGCAAATGGATCCTGTGTCGGGAACCCAGTGACCTCTGGCTTCTTGGGTGGAAGCTATGTTGCTCTGGTAACTTTGGATCTTCAGGAAAAAAAGAGGCTTTTTCTTTTCTCTCTGCTTTATGTTTCCCCCCAGGTTTCATCCTGGTCCCCATGTCTGTCTCAAAGCGCCTCAAAAGTGCTCGTCATCATGAGACAGAAAAAGGGGGCTTGTTGAAAGTGTTCTGGCCCTGAGTGTCTGAAATTGCCTGAGAACTTGGGTCTTTCAGTCTTGTATTACTTCCTGCAGAGGAAGGCTTGTGATTCCAGGGATTTGACCCTTTCACTTGAAGGACTGTGGCCAATAACAATATCTGCGATGCCTCAGGAGTGATCCGTAAGTGACGTGTTGCCACCCATGGACCCCTGCTCCCTGTCGTGTCTTCTCCTTGACCAACGTGTTCCAGCATGTGTTTTTATGTAGCTGGGCCGCCATCTAGTCCTCCTTTGGACTTTCATCGTGGAGGAAGTGCACCAGGCTCATTGCACCAGTTCCCTTTCACTGACAGGCACACACTGAGCTGGTTTCTCCCCAGAACAAGCGTGCGGAACAGGTTTCCCAGCAAAACCAACCCTGAGCGGGGCTAATTCCCAACAAGGAAACATTTCAAACCAGAAACGTGTTTCTTCTTTTGTCTTGCCGACCTGCAGAACGCACAGGCGTCCCTTAGTTGTGCCACAGCATTATTTGGACCCTTTCCAAACAACAAGTGGTTGTTGGCTCATATAGTTGTTTTTATTGCTTATTTCTCGAAAGGGTGCGACGTGTGGGTTTCTTCCGTATGTTACGTTTTCTCAGCCTCATTTTCCAGATTTTGGAAGAAAGTTGGCCAGTGATGACATATGGCTATATGGTTTTGTGAGGAGCATCCACCGTGGCTCTCGGGGTGCTGACTGGACCCGGCAAGCAGCAAGTAGGGTTCTGTGGTGACTCCAACATTTTTGCAGAGTGTGTGTTGCTTGCCCATGCCTGGCAGCGTGCAAGGGATGCTAAACTGGTGGCTTCTGGTAGAAATGGAGCTGCTTGGCCGCTCCAGTTCCTGGACAACGGTGCTGCATGGTTCACCTGCCCTTGCAAGCAGCAGCTCTTGCAGTTCCCCCAGCTCGAATGGGTGCCTGGCGATCACGTCAGAGCAGGGTTCCTGGTGTCATCGCGTCACCCGTCACCGGGACGCTTTGAGACGGAGCGTTGCTGCTGCCAGCGCCTCTGTCCCAGCAGGCTGGTTAGGAACGACAGTCGCTGGCCGTCTTGTCATCAGTCCTCGCTTCTCATTGTTACAGTGCGAGCTCCAAAAACAGCTGGGCGCCGTCCCGGACCCGACAGCCGAGGGCAGGGTGCCACAGGCGGTGCCCGGGCTCTGGGAAGGGAGCGCTCGGCCCTGCGATGGGCCAGGCGATCAGAGCGGAGAGTTTTGGAGAGGGTGCACCAGCCCCAGCGCTTGCTGCTGCTGCTGGCCCAGGGTTCATCCTGCAGTTCCTAAAAGATCTTTATTCTTTTTTGTTATTTCAAGTCCCCGTTTTGTTCTACACTAAATTCCTGGTTGATTTGTCATTAGGAGCTGGCAATAACTTGGCCAAGGGATGCTCTTCTTTCCTTCAGGTCTACCTGTTCCTGCAGTTCCTTGCTCAACTGCTGTACCTGCAGGAAGGAGAACCCTTCAGCCCCCTGGGCAGCTGCAGGGCAACCTTTGCACACAACAGATTTGCTCTTTCCCCTAGCTGGAATTAATTCCTCCTTGAGCTCATATTTTTCTGCTGCATTACTGAGCCTGGTATGAGAACCTCCAGGAGGTTAAAGGACAAACCTTTGAATAGATTAAACCTTTGCAAGGATAAACCTTTGCAAAAAGAGCGATACCTCCAGCTGCTGATCCATACCGTGCGTTTTGAACATTTAGGTGTGAGGAAGTGGTTTGGCGTTCATGTTAATCTCTGTGATTGGGAAAGGTGGTCCTGCTCTGCTTTGCAACTGCCACTGCTTCTTGCCTCGGCTTTGGTGGTTGCGCAGCTGCAGAGTGAGTTAACTTCATGAGCTGATCTTGTTGGAAAAGAGCATCAAAGAAGGAAAAGAATGCTCTGTTGACAGCACCAGCCCTGGTACTGGTGCACCATAAAGCCAGCAGATATCACTGTGTGAGCACTGGGGTATTTGAGCTGGACCAGGTGACAATGTAGGACATGGTTTAGTTGGAGCTAATTGATTAAGAGCAAAATTATGAATGCTGATGTGGACCCTGTCTCCAAACCACCGTGGAGTCTTTCATTTGGGGAGCATCTCTGAATCTGATTTCCAGATCACAGAGTGGAACAGGAGTGGCTTACCTGGGTCCTCGTGGACTTGGCTCTCTCTAAAGTCACTGCTGCCCTGCAGTGCACCTGCAGTGAGGCTGGGAAGGGTTTTGGTGGCCATTCCTTCTTAGGAAGCCTTCGCAATGCTTGGTGCACCCCTGTGGCCCAAGGGTGCACCATGGCCAAGCTGGGCATGGTAGCCATGTTTAAGGGAAGCCCTCAGAGCAGGGGGGTGGATTGAGGGTCAGGCTACATGTTTCCCGTCTGAAAGCAGCCAGATCTTGCTAGGAGCAGTGAATTTGGAGGTTTTCATTTTGAGAGGTTTCCTAGGAAACACGGAGCCGCAACCGTGATGGGAAGAGATTTCTCCTGTGACAGGTCCAGCCCCAGTGGGAGGTGGCCATGGAGAGCTAAGTGAGACGGCCTTGCCTGGCTCTCAGAGCCCCTTCAGAAAGGGCTGCTTTCTCTCAGCCCCAGGGCTGCCACGTGCAGCCCCTCGGATCATGATTTGGAGCTTTGTCTTTGCAGGAGCCGAAAGATTCAGATCCGGAATATCCCCCCGCACCTGCAGTGGGAGGTAAGAAGCATTGGGCTCCCCTTCTGTCTCCCCGCCAAGGGCAAGGTGGTTTTAAAAACACCCCCATTTGTATCCTCCTCTTCCTCCTCTCTTCATGCCTGAACAGCGGGTGTGATCAGCACACAGCCCCATTTACCTTCCTGCTAACCCAGGGTGGGAGACTTGGGGTGATGCAGAGAAGATGTTCTCCTGCCTGGTGACTCCATGGGCTGCTTTGAGCACTAGAGGGTCTTCAGGATAAGGGAGGCAGCAGGTGGGAGAGGACTCCGAAAGGCTTCAGGCAGTTCTTGAGAACATCTCTTGTCTTGCCTGTGCAAGTGGCTGGCTTTGAGGAAACGTGGGGTGTTTGCTCTCATGCTCAGCTGTGGTTTCCGTCACCGTGAGGCTTTAGGATGAGCAAGGTAGGAAGGAGATCAGCTACTCTAACACATGAGCTGTGAACCAGACTGAAGTGAGGATCACGGACCAGATGAGTCCTCCTGAAAGCAACACAACCAAGGGGTCGAGCAGGTGAATAACACTCTGAGGCAATGCTGGCCATGTGTTGTGTGTCACAGTCTGGATTCCTGATCATTGGCCCATCTGGGGTGGATATATGCCCCGATCGAGGAGAGAAGGAGTGTCGAGTGCTCTTTGGGATGAGTGTATCTGCTCAGCCTGGGACATGGTTGTCAAGTTGCCCTGAGAGTGGTTTCCAGGTCTGACGCCTGCTATTGGGAAGAGGAGCAGAGAGACCTAGCTCTCTAATTCCTTTGGTGTCAGCCCTGTTTTTGCTAAGAAAGCCATCTCTTAGGCTGCTGCTTTGCCAACTCTGAAAATAGTCTGGCCACTAAGAAGGCAAATCCCATGTGTTTCAGTGCCCTTTGCAGAAACTGGGCTTGCTGCCTGGGAGAGGGCAGCACTCTCTCTAATAAGCCTCAAAGTGCCTCTAGGCCATTTGTCACGACGGCTGAGTATCCAAAGCCAGCGGAACTCGTCGCCTTGTTTCAGGTGACTTCTTCATCGTGGGTCAGGCAGGGATGGAGCTTGGCTCTCCTGCTGCCCCTTGCTTGCCAAGGTTGCCTGAGGACAGCAGGAGATGCGCCCGCCTGCCCAGCAGCCTCTCCCGCCTGCCTCACCTCCGTTGTTTGCTCTCTCCCCCAGGTGCTGGATGGCCTGTTAGCTCAATATGGCACTGTGGACAATGTAGAGCAAGGTAAGACAGTCTGACGTGGGTCTTCACCTGTGCAGAAATCCCAGCACCTCTCCCCAGCTCAGCATGCCCTCTGCAGAAGAATAACCCCCCGTTCTTTTACGGACCTCATAGGGTGAAATCTGCTTTTCCCAGTAACGTGGAGCAGGGCTAAACCCTGCTGGCGCCTGTTCCCGACCTCCACTGGCAGCACAGGGCAGAGGTGGGATTGTCTGCCTGGTAGCAAGAGGACTTGGGCAGTGCACCTCCCGTGTTTCTGCTGTCTTGGCTTCTCCTGCTTGCCCTTGTCCCTGTGAAGGACACACAGTTGGCGACGGCACCTAACCAGCCTCGTACTGTTTGAGCAGGGCGTGGGAAGGAGTGTTGTCCAGAGCACATCAGGAAGCACTGGGCTGCCCGTGCTGAACTTCAGGAGGTGCCCGGAGGAGCCCATGCCATGCGTCCCTCGGCTGTGAGGCATGTGGTTGCCCTTGCTGCTGGGGCACGGGGCCAGGCGGGGACTGTGCAGCAGTTTGTTTCTCTGCTGACAGCACTTGGCGTTAATCCTCTCAGGAAGATAAAGCACGTGTTACTGTTTGGGCCAGGAAGAAAATAGGAGGGGAAAAAAAAAATATGACAAAAGGTCCTGAGACAGAGTGGGCACCTCAAAGAAGCTGCATTCAAACCTACTGCTCTCTCCCCCAGCCCTTCAGAACCAGATGCTCCAGTTGAGCATGTCAAATTCCCCATGGTCAATTGGATGCTTAAAGTAGCTTTAGGTGGCATCGGTGTGTAAAGAAAACCGTTGCTGCCTGGTGTAGCCTTGGCATCAGCTAAACCCAGCGTCTACCCACACACCACAGACTGGCAGGAACATCCCTTTTCTAGAGAAGCTGTAAGAGAGAGCTAAGCTTGCAGCTCAAGACTAAAAGACCTTGAATTGCCAAGATCTCCATCTTAAACCAGTAAAGGGCATTTCGTTGGCTTGTCCATTTGCGTCTGTGCTCTCGGGGAGAAAAATACAGCAACGGTGTCTGGGATCCCTCCTCCTGTCTTGGAGGCCCCAGCCCTGGCTCACAGAGTTGCCAAGCAAGTTGTTTGGGCGCCAGACCAGCACACAGGCAACGGGGAAAATAAAACTGTGCTGCCTCGTACATATAGGTGTCAAAGGAGAGCTATGTTGCTCCAAAATACATCTGGGTGGGCGTGACGATTTAAGTTGACCTTAGCAGAATCGGGTCCCATATGCATTTTACCTGTGCCCTGTAATCACCCCGGCCGCCCAGACCAGGTCCATGAGCACGTTTCCCCTCTCCCAAGTGGCCAGCCAATATCATGCTCTAGCTCTCAACTCCTATGTTTGTGGTTGCCCAACATACGATGGGGTGGCCACCAAAGCAGGGGAAGATCCTCTTCTCCCATGAGCTAATGCACCCTGCGTTGTTGCTTTTCCTACAGTCAACACAGACACAGAAACAGCAGTTGTCAACGTAACGTATGCGACTAAAGAAGAAGCAAAAGTGTAAGTGGCTCTTGTTTTACTCTAATCTTATCTTTCTCTCTTTCTCAGGAGTGTTTGCAATTTGTCTAATCAGATGGCAGCCCCCCTTTTTTTTTTTTTTTGTACTGTCAAGAGCTGGTTTATCTCCATATAATGAGGACAGATGTTGTCTGTAATGTCCATAGAAGGCTGCAGCCTTCAGTGTTGAGGGAGAGTAGACCCTAGGTGATCCAGATCCCAACCAGCCCTGTTGGTAGCTCCCCCTACTACAGATCTTGCAGACAGGACAAATTTGCCACCACCCACTGCTTTCCCAAAGAAGTCTCAGTATTTTCCCTCTGACCATTTCTCCAAACTGCCCCATTTTTCTTTTCTTCTCTGTAGACCTCGTGGGCTTGCATCTAAGATGTTATAGTGTAATATTCAAGGCAGTCTGTCTGTCTCCCTTCTGGAGTCATCAGACTGCTGCTTCTTGTGTCCAAGGTGGTTTTTAATACAGTGGAAGTAGGTTTGCTGGATGCAACACCAAATGCTGTACTGTTATCTGAGTGGATCCTGTCAAACTTTTCTGATAGCAGCTCTCCTTAACATACAGCAGACATATTTGGTTTTAAATTGAGCTGTGTTGTGTCTTGTCTCTGCTGTGATTCTTTTCCCCTTGAATCTTCCCCCCACCTTCTTCATTTCTTTTTGCTGATAGCTACACCATCAACAGGCCTAAAAATGAGGTGGGGAGGTTGAGTTCTACTCTAGGGGTCTGTTGATCCTAAAGGATCCTCCGTATCAAGACTGGGGGATGAGGCAGTACCTGGCGCAGAAAAAAACTGATGTGAATTGTCAAAGAAGGAAGGGTGTCTGGGATCCACTTCTTCCCATCAGGAGCCCAGCAGATCTTGTACAATGTTGGGATTTTTTTTTAGAATTACACCGAGAGATTATTTCTCCCTGAAGGCAGGTACAATTGCAGCAGTGAGTTGGCAATGCACTGTGTTCATCATTGGTGCATCCAGCCACCCACTCTGAGCGAGGGCAGCTGTGGAGTAAATCTGGGTGCTCCTTGTCATTTGGGGAAAGTTTAAGTTGGATACCAAAGTTTTGAGAGAGCGTCAGCTCCTGCTTCCCGGAGACCAAGACAGGCGTCCCTTGGCTTGGCCTTGGACAGCGTGGCTCAAAATATTCCAGTGAAAGAACCATTTGGTAACCGTAACAGCCATGTATATGGACTTAACTGCTTCACAGGAACCCTACAATATAGCCACAATAGTCATATTTATGCCAATAGAACAGGAGAATATCCTAAAATAAAGATGTTCATTAAAAATGTAAGCAGCAGAAAATCAACCAATAGACTTCTAAAAGGCTTTTGAAAAGTTCCCCTGCCATGGAAAAGATAGAAAGTCTTTGGATAGACTGGTTGAAGGGTGTCAGGTGGAGGAGAGTTGTCAGTGGCCGATCTCTGGAGGGAATGGAGACCAGCAGTGGGCAAGTTTTTTTTTTGTACTGTGTAGAGACACTATAGAAAAGGCTGCAACAATTGTCCCCTGTAAGGAAGAACTTCAAAAAAAAAAGAACAGGGAAAATGAAAAGGAAGGTAAGAACTTGACTGTGCCTGTGGATCAATGAAGTGGTCATTGTAAAAATCTCAATCTCTAGGTCTACCATATCCGAAGGAAGGTAACAGGAAAAGAATATGTTAGCTCTGTCAATTTAGGAGTTGATTCAGAAATGTAAGGGCTGTTTTGAGCAAAACTCTTTATTACAGACTTGTAAAGACTTCAGTCCTATGTTAGCTACTAGCACTGAGTTGGCCAGAAAGTGATTTATGTAGCCCATAATTATTGGCAGGGTATTCTAATACAGTGGAGGCAATTCAAAATTGAATTCATACAAGAAAGTCACAGACAGTCGAGCTAGTTCCCAAATGCAGATGTTAACAAGTTTGGAGCCTGCTCGGTGTCCTGCTCCTCACCAGGTGACTGCAGAGGCCTGAAATGAGAGAAGTGATGGTGAAGGAAAAACAGTTATAGTTGAGGTTTTAGCTGATGAGAAGTTGATGTGTGTACCAAGGCCAGAAATCTGGCCAAGGGATTTACCATTAGTCTCACTTGAGAGAATTCAAAATGCATTTGCCAAAAAAAAAAAAAAAAAAAAGAAAAGAAACGAAAAAAGGTGATGATGGCCTGGAACGAATCGAAGAAGCTAGGACACATATAGAGATTGTGGCTTGCCCCCCTACCTCAGTGTTTCATATGCCATGGAAAGAACCATTTGTACAGAGCTTAAAGTAAAGCTGAAGTGCACTAGGCAAGGCAGGTGTCCCTTCCTGTCCCTTCCTTCAGTTGACTCTCCTGAGCTGAACCTCTCACTCACGGCAGTGTCCCCACTTGTGCAGCCTCGTGCTGGCTTCGTGGCCCTTTGCCTCTAGTGTGGTCTCCCTGGCTGCTTTGATGAGCCTGCAGTAACTCCCTGGGTCTTTTCCCACAGTCAGGGGTCTGCTGTGCTAAGCAGCTTTGAAGAGGCCTCTCTGGTATGTGGTCAGACATGCACTGGTCATTTCTAACCAGCCCTCTCTGCCACTTCACACTGTGTCTGGATGTTGCCTCCTGTTTGCAGATGTGTGAGATACTGCATGTCCCCGTGACTAGGGGAGATTCTCTGTCTCTCTCCCTGTCCTGCCTGGCCTTGCTCTGCCAGCCCTTCCTGAAGATACTCACCCTCCTCTATTTCCAGCCCCAATGGGGCTGTGTTCCTTCCTCCACATGAAGTGCTGTGTTCTTGGACTGTCTTCCCACCTTGCCCAAGGAGAGGCCCTCTGTGACCCCAGAGCGGTGTCAGCCTGGCTGCTGGTGCAACGGGGAAGGGAACATTGTGCCACCTTTCCGGGGGCACCTTCCTCAGTGCAGTGATGACGGTGGAGGAGGGGAGAGAGTAGGAAGGGAGAAGGAAGTAGGGTGGGAGAGGGACCATGGCCCTGCTGGGGTCTCTGCAGGGACCTGGCTCCCAGAGCTGCTGGACCTGGCATTGACCTCCCAAAGAGATAACGCTCACTGCTCCCTTCCTCTGCTTGCCCTTCAGAGCAATTGAGAAGCTCAGCGGCCACCAGTTTGAGAACTATTCCTTCAAGATTTCCTACATCCCGGATGAAGAGGTGAGCTCCCCTCCGCCCCCTCAGCGATCCCGCCGCGGGGGCCACTCTTCCAGGGAGCAGGGCTCCTCCCCGGGGGGCTCCTCGCAGCCCAAACAGCTCGATTTCCCACTGCGGATGCTGGTGCCCACGCAGTTTGTTGGTGCGATCATAGGAAAGGAGGGCTTGACCATAAAGAACCTTACTAAGCAAACCCAGTCAAAGTAAGTACCTCGAATGGTTTTGTTTCCTTCCACAGGACTCTGTTAGGTCCCTGGCACATGGCATATGGGGGTCAGAGGGAAGGGCAGGATGTTTCATTGCTTTGGACTGTGAGCAAACACTATTTTACTTGTGGCTTTCAGAGGAGGGTGAGGGAGATGCAGCAATTTACCTCTACCAGGTGTGGGGAACCTGAGCCAGGCCAGCTAAACCTGCAGAACCTGCAAAACCCAGCAACAAGCTGGTACCTCCTGCTCCTGCTGGGACAGTGACTTCACCTGTCTCCTTGGGTGCTCCCAAGCTGGCCCTTTTACCATCGATTTGCAACATTGGGTCTTGCCCTAGAGCCTATTCCCCAAGTTGTTGCTGCTGGCCAGCAAGGTCTGAGGGCATCAAGTCTCTTGGAGGGGGATCCATACTAACCACCACCGCCAGAAGAAGGTTTCCGAGGTCCAGTACTTTAAAAAAGGGGAAGACCCCTGGCCTTGCATTGGACCTCGGAATATAGCAAGCCCTGATAATCCCCAAAACTGATGGGCTTGCTTTCCTCAGCCACTATTTGATTGTATAGCTCTCATCCTATGAGAGTGGCCTGGGCCAAGGCTTTATGGGGAGAGAAAAAAAAAAAAAAAAAAAAAAAGATGAATTTGGAATAAAAATATGTAAGGGGAATCCTAAAAGCAGTGCCCATGTGGTCTTTGCCCTGGGTTTGTTCATCCTCCAGTGCTCAGTATGTGCTAGAGTTAGTCTAGGGGGAAACGTGGCATTGTGTGAAAGTTGTCTTGAAAAGGGTTGTGCTTTTTATAACTATTTGAAGCTTTTTTCTTGATCTAACTTTTTTTAGTTTTGAAAAATGGGGGAAAAAAAGTAGAAAAGATTGTCTTGCTGAAGTTTTCCATGTTTTTCTTCTTAATGTTTACATTGATTTCATTTCTGATTTTCTGCATGGTTTTCTTGCACGGTTTGTTCCTGCCTAGATTTTGTTTGTGTTTAACCTAAAGCTGTCTTCTCCCATGTTCATCATCCCGAAACCGATGATCCCACAGGACATAGGACTCCTGTACCAGAACCATCCACCAGGGCGGCCTATTTCTCAGAGAAGCTTTTAGAGGAAATTATTTAAATCGTAATAGTGCATCTGCTTGAGCCGAATTTCTTCCGGACCCAGCTGGTAATCAGCTGTCTCTGAAATGTGCTGACCACTACTGAGTTTTGTAATATCGTTTCCAATGTGCGTGTCCTAGTGGTTTGCAAATCAAAGTAGGATATAGCTCAGCGTAGTTCAGGAGGATGCTGTCCTTGTTCACTTCTGCTAGTACTAGCAAAAGACTGATGCCAAAGCCTGACTGTTCTGGTACGAAAGTTAACCTCCAGTCTGGGTAAGAGAAATGTATGAAGATTTTGCATATCTATGTCCCTTGACTGAACCTAGGACTCACATGTTGCTGCTCAGTCAAACTGAAAGAGAAGCTGCCCTGAGAGGGTAAAACCTGGGTCTCAGTGCACCTTGCAGAGAGCAAAGCTGGGAGAAGACCACAGGCCAATGCCCTTCTTTGTGTGTAACCTTCTCTCCTTGTCTGTGGAGCCACATAGACACGAAGGGTCCCTGGCAGGACGTAGAGGTTGTGGGTGGCTCTCCTTAGCAAGAAGCAATGCTCTGCAACTGAACAAGTCGAACATCGTTTGGTTTTCACAGCCATAGCACTCCCACAGATTGCCAAAAACAACAAAAAAAAAGAGGTTTGTACAGAAAGGAAGCCAGAACTGTAGGGAGAGGAGCTCTTTTATGAGACCAGCAGCTCGGTCTAAGCATAGAGTGTGGCCATGTAGCAGCTGTGAAGGCACGTGCTGCCCTCCCGTTAGCAAACCGTAGTGAATCCGAGTCAGCCTCAAACCCTTCTTCTTCAGGTGAGTCCCCCCGTAGGGTCAGCAGTCCTTGCCCTGCTAGCCGAGACTGGAAAGTTTTCCTTTGCATGCCCTGACTCCTGCTCCATGCGTGGTGTGAAAGGTAGGATGCGCCTGCTGCCAGTTTCTCCCGACCATGAGCTTGAGGTGAAACACCGCTGCTTGGAACCGTTTCCCCTGCAGAGCCATCTCTCCTTGCGTTTTGCCTGCGGTGCCTGCCCTGAAGACCTTGTGCGATGGAAGAAGGCCCTGCTCCATATCCTGACCATGATTTGGCTTGTTGTGTGCCACCACCTCTGCCCAGCCTTGGACAAGGTGCGAACCTTGGCAGGCCCGGGACTTGGCTGGCCCGTGCAGCCACGTGAGAGCCTCTTCTGGGAAGGGGACAGCCTCGCGAAGCCTCCTGCCAGGCCAAAGCGGCAGCTCTGGCCTCCAGTGCACCTTCTTCCTCCAGCGAGGCCTTGGCACAACCAATGTTGCACTCTTGAGTTGGCTTTGTGGCAGCAGCCTGGAGCCCACGGCCCTTCTTTGCTCGGGGCACCCTCGGGAGGCCTAAGTGCCCAGGGTCCCCCGTGCCTTTTGCTGGGATCTCCCTCCTGAGGTGTGTACGCAGGGGCACTGGCCCTGGCACACCTGGGATCAAGGGAGCTGGTGGAAGCCCCATTGCACAGTTCCTGCTCTTACCCTCCGAGTGTGTAGCTGAAAGGTTCACCCCTGCTTCCATGTGTGGCGATAGCCAGAGATGCTTTTTTGAGCTCCAGAAAGCAAAATTTTCCCCATATTGAGCCTTCCTCTCTCTTGACTAAAAAGGAACTCAGGCCAAGACTCAGTCCAGAAGACCTTACAGTATCTCTGCTGCCTCTCTACTTTAATGAAGAGGGAGAACTGTCTTTTCTAGGCCTCCAAGGGACTGGGGTGCCCCAGTACGTACACAGTACAGTCTTTCCCTTCAAGACCCCAGGTCTCTGAACCGTTCTCAGGCTGTCCTGAAGTGCTTTGTTTTTTTCCAGCTTCACCACAGGCAAACCTGGCCCTTCCCTGTCCCTCTGATCCTGGTGTCTGCTGCCCCCGTCTCTTCTTCCTATAGTGACCTAGGGTCGCAGGCCAGCTGCTGCTAGGGATATGGGGGTTGAAGGTCACTGTCTTCATCCTCCTCTTGGACTAGGACTAGGTAACAGCAACCTTAGGACATGCCAGGAAGTCTGGAGTCCTCCTCCACCTTCCTGCTCTTGGGGCTGGGATGTGCTTGACTAAGTAGCTGCTTCCTGGCACCCTCTCTGCAAACTCAACTCCTGTGTCCACTCGTTCAGATTTGGGGTGGGGGATGGCAGTCAGCAGGCCAGCGAGACCCTCGCCTGCTGCTTGTCCAGAGTAATGATCCTCTTGGTGCCTCCCTTCAATCCATCTCTGCTGATGGTCTCAGCTCCTTTGTGTTACAGAAGCCTCTCTCTGCTTTCAGCATGGCTTTGTCCTCATACGTCAGTGACGGACTGGTGGAGGATCACCACGGTGCGATGCTTTCTGTTCTTGCCTCACAACGCTTCCCGTCTTCACCGAGCTCAGTTACTTGTCAACTTGTCAGATGTTGCCTGTGACTCCGTCCCTTCAGTGGGGTTGTCAGGGCTGTTGTAGATTCCCCTTGAGTCTGTCCCCAGGAGATTAACAGAGCTGTCAGCGTCAAGCCAATGTGATATCGCTGCACCCCTTCGGAGTACGAACCTGTCATCGTCGTCTTTGGCACATCGCAATGCACTTGCTTTCTCCCCTGCTATGGCAAAGGGAATCGCAACGGACGTCTCCCTGTCTGCCTTGACTGGTTGGTTGTCCCAGGATTAGTGTCTCCGGAGGAGCAAATTCTTCATGTCATCATACTGGAGCTCCACAGAGTCCCCAGAATATCTTAGAGGATGTCACGTGCATGTGACAGCATACCATGTGGCCACAGTGATACAGCAGATGTAGCCTAAGGGTGGGCAGACCCACCTTATTTTCTGTGATGAAGTCAGACATGCCTAGCAAGGTTGGGTTCTCAGGGGTGCAGAATTCTCCAGTACCCCTTGGACCAACCAGAGCTGTCCTGCCCAAGCACTACTGGCTGACAGGCATAGATCTACCAAGCAGATATAAACCTCTAAAGGGATCAGACTGTGTCCCTCTTTTCCCATACTTCAGTGCTTAGCTCTAATCACACCAGAGTGCATTTTGAAGTGGATGGAGTCAGGCTTTTCTCTTAGCTTAGGGAAGGTTCACATAACTGCTCCCTCTCTACCCATTGCATTCTAGTTGATTAAGTATCCATATTCCAACACTTTGATTCGTGAGTTCCTGGAAGGATCGGTCTGTACCAAGCCTCCACGACCCAGTGGTGTCCTAGCCTTTCATTGAGGGAACTCTTTGGACCACAACCCTTGGTCTTGCAGCCTCTGCCCGGCAGTGACCAGTGCCAGTCTCAGTCAGCACCTGGATCTCTTACAAAACGGGAAGCTGGAGCATCTGGTCTTGACCAGAGGGCATCATGCTGGAGATGAGCGCAGCGTTGCTGTTCCAGCCTCTTGCTGTGCAGTCAAGCAGCAAGTACTGCAGCGTACCGAGAAGATCCAGTCTCGCACGGCCCCTTCCATGCTAGTGCCGACGCGGCTGGCCCACGGGACCCTGCGATCGCCGCCGGGTTACTGACAGCAGGATGACTGCGCAGAGTCATCCTCTGGTGGAAAGGACATGTGGACGCACTTGGAGAAGAAGGAAAGGTTGCTTACAAGTAACCCGTGTTCTTCAAAATGCGTGGTTCACGTACGGGAGTCTCCTACCCTGCTTTCCTCTCTCCCTCTTTCTCAGGGCCTTTGCCAGGTACGGTTCTGCAGTGAGGAACTGAAATGGAAGCAGGCATGTTCTTCCTTTCTGCCATGTGCTGAGGGGAAGGATCAGAGGAACTAGAGCACAGTCTCTACAGATACCGCAAGGGAAAACTTTCTGGTCTCACATGGAAGGGCGTGAGTACAAGTGCTGTTGTTAATGTGCATGTATGACTCCATGTCGTGAAAAACACTGGCTACTGGTAAGTTATCTTTCTCTCCTGAAGAACATGCAACAGTCCTGGCAGAAGCTGTTCTCTGTACGGCCTCAGGTATTTTCCACAGAAAAGACTGAGGATGAAAGGGACCTCTGAAGGTCTCTAGGCCAATCTCCCGCTCCAGGCGGGGTTAGCATCCAAGTTAGATCAGGTTGCTCAGCGCCCTGTGCTGTTGAGGATTTGTTCTGCCCTGTCTTGATGCAACGTTTCATTTTGATTGACGTCCCTCAGTTCCTAGGCAGATCATAGGAGCAATTGGAGTCCAAATCTGAGTCAAACCTGATTTAAACAAGCCGAAACAAAATGCTGCTTGGGCTTGCATGAGACAGGGTGACAGTCAAGACCCAGGTTCACCCCAAACACTGGGTTGAGCAGATGTTGAAATGAGCCTTTCTGAATAGCGAGTTGAGCTCATAAGCTCTGAAAAGCCTCCTTGCAAAGTCAGTCTGGTCTCAGGGGGCTCCTCTCTGCTGGTTGTTTCGCTGTAGGGTTGACATCCATCGAAAAGAGAATGCCGGTGCAGCTGAAAAACCCATCACCATCCATGCCACACCTGAGGGGTGCTCTGAGGCCTGCCGCATGATCCTTGATATCATGCAGAAGGAGGCTGACGAAACGAAATCGTAAGTGTAATACCCAGTATGCCTGCCCTAGCAAAATCAGCATGTTTGCTGGAAAGCATGGAAACTTGGCCAGATAATTTGCCTGTTTGGAGAGCTCACCTGTGAGCACTGGAAGAGTCCCTGAACTGGATTGCCAGAGTCAAGAAACCAATTTCTATTTACCTTCCGCACACAGAGTCATTACTTAAGTCATTTCTGCGCTGTTTCTTTTCATCTGCCCTTCTCTCTTTGGTAGCGGAAGAAAGCAACAGAACAACTATGAAGTTCAGAGTTGATAGATGTAAAACAATCTGTGAGCGAGAGGTTATCACCACACAGACAATCACAGATGATGAGCAGTTGGTAGAATTTAGGACTCTGGACTGACTCTGAGCTCTCCATTCTGGAGAGGGACTGTCTGGGAAGGGAGATCATAGGAGTCTGTAAAGACATTGTTACCTGCAGAGCCTGGACAGGGGCATAGAAAAACCACCCAGTAAATCAAGGTTTTATTTTTTAATTTATTTTAGAGCAGAAGAGATTCCTTTAAAAATCCTAGCACACAACAGTCTGGTTGGGAGACTGATTGGCAAGGAGGGCCGAAACCTCAAGAAGATCGAGCAAGACACCGGAACGAAGATCACAATCTCTCCGTAAGTCCTGGTGGATGTTGACCTTCCAGGGGCAGGGCTGGGCCTCACACGGTCCGACACACTTGACTCTGGAACCAGAACTTAATCACGTCCTCCTGTACATGTTCCTCTTCATGTGTGGACAGTGGTGTTGGTTGGAGATGGTTTGTAGCCTAGGAGGTGCCTACACTGCCTCAGGGGAGGGATCCTCTACCCTGATTTGACAGTTTTCCTGTTTTTTGAATGATGACCTCTCCGTGTTTGTCTGTGTGAGCTAGTTTGCAGGATTTAACCATTTATAACCCTGAGCGGACCATCACAGTGAAGGGCAGCACGGAGGCATGTTCAAATGCAGAAGTGGAGATCATGAAGAAGTTGCGAGAGGCCTACGAGAATGACGTCGTGGCCGTCAACGTAAGCTCCTGGACCTCCTGCCTGGGGTGTCGGTGCTTCAGACTCATTTCCAAGGAGGCTAGACAGAACTGGGAGGGGGTCAAGGTGTTACGGAGAGGACTCACCCATCACTCCTACACTGTTTCATCAGATCTTCACCAACCTCACACCGCACTTCACCCACATCTCTGTGTCTTTGCTTTTCTAGCAACAAGCTAACCTGATTCCAGGACTGAACCTCAGCGCTTTGGGCATCTTCTCAACAGGGCTGTCCATGCTCCCATCTGCCACAGGGACCCGAGGTGCTGCTGCTCCTTACCACCCGTTTGCAGTAAGTGCAAGACACTGGGGTACTGGGAAGTTATCTTAGGGGCCAAGTGGTTGCTAGATATTCTTGGTCTAGCTCTTGGGGTTGCCTATAAGAGGCCTATCACAGAGAGCCTTCAAGCAACAGCTGTGTCCTTGTGGGAGCGATTCGTGATGCTCAATCAGTGCGTGCACCATGGGGCTGTTCACAGTGGCTGCCAGCACCCTGGACCTGCTGTGAAGGTCTATGTTGTGTCAGGACTCCCTGGGATCTCTGCCAGGAGGTGCAGAGGCCACTGGCCCTGGCAAGGATGACTGTCTTGCTGTGTCCCTTGCTGGCTCTTTGGTGGCACAAGTGGAGAATGTGTTTGTTGGGTGTAGTGCTGCGTGCCAGGGCTATTCCAGCATGTTTCCTGCTGTGGTGTCAAGCTGGTTGACTTCAGAGAAAAAGTCCTGCAAGAAGTCATAGCTAAAGGAAACAGACTGTAAGCTCTCTGATGTAGGAGCTGGTGAAATTACTACATATACTTGGAGCATTTCTTGAGAGTGCTCAAGTACTGCACACTTTGCAGCTGCCTTGCTCAGCCTCGATCCTTGCTGTAGCTCTCAAAGGGTTGTGTTTGTTGGTGGTGTATCTTCAGCTGGTTTTACAGGCAAGATTTTTAGTCATTCTCTTGTGCCGTGGTACCTTTGAAGCAGACCCAGGAGGCTGTTTTGGAGCCTTTGAGGTTGCACACAGGCAGAAATGGGCCAACACCTGCAAAACACGCTGGCAAGAGCATGTGTGCTGAGGCTGGGGAGGAGCTCCTCAGCTCTGCTTGTGAAGCAGTGCACCCATCCACCCGTGTGCCCACACTGCAGATACCTGTTTCTTCTAAGGCGTCTGGCTGGCAGACAGGGAGCCTGTGAAGACCACTGGGCAGGGGTTGGACAGATTGTCCAGTCGCTTTGCTGCTGGATGTGGTTTATCTCATACCTCTTAGAAGCTGCAAATCAGCCCTAGGAAGACCAAGTGACAGGGTTTAAGTCCTGTGAAGGTATCTGTTGTCAGCTCTGCATCTTTTAGTCTCTCTACATATTTCTGCCTAGATACTGTGAATGCATGGAGACTGGAGAGAAAAAAAAAGTTAATTTACCTCTACTGTTTTCTTTTTTCTGAAAACCATAGCAGCAGAGTGGTCGGAGAAGAACGGTGAGTTGGGAGCCCAAATACTAGGGTTATGGTGTACGGACTGAACAGATGAGTGTGAACGTGGTAGTTTTGCCTATGGGATGTGTGTGCACAGCTCCCCACTGCCTGTGAATATGTCTGGTCACCTGGGCTGACACATTGCTGGATTTTGAGCCCCAAACCAAGCCAAGCTCCTTCACTTTCCTCCCTCAGACTCCCAGTGGAGTCTCCCAGACTCGGGAGTGGAGGTGGGTTTCTGTTGCATATGGGAAGGTCAACTTAAAAGCATCCTTGTCTATTTGGACTTGTTTTCCCCATACCTTGCATGGAGTTTTGAGAGCTTCCCTGGCTGGTTTAATGGGAGCTATCACCTCTCCTAGGGCCTTCTCTTCTCCATCATAAAAATAAAGTGTAGTCAAACAGTTAAAAGGAAGCCAGCTTAGCTCTTAGGAAGTGACATTTCATTTCCATCTTAAAAGCATTCTTTGAAGGCATTAGCACAGTGGTTGGGAGCAGCCAGAACACAAGGAAGGCCGTTGCTTCCCACTAAACATCATCTGTTGCACGAGTCGGAGAGGTTGTTTCTGAAGACAAGCGTGGTTTGTGATAGCAAGGAGTGGAGAGTGCATTTGTAAAAGACTTTTCAGCCAAGCAGCCAGGAGAGAGATGAGTCAATGAGACTAAGGACGTCAGTCTGATTATTAGGCTCCAAGAAAACTGGGCAGTTCCTTTGGTCTCCATGTCCGGAGCAGAAGCCAGACGAAGTCCGACAGAATAGACAATTACAAGGTCAGTGCCCGGGTGAGCAGGCAGGACAAGGTCTGGTGGGAGTCTGGCCATCTCCTCACGTTTGTGCATAGAGGCATGGTGCCTATGGAGCTGTGCTAGCCCCCCGTGACTTACCAGGCTTGGCACAAGAGTGGCAATGTCTTGGTGCAGAGTTGAAAGAGAGAGCTAAGAGCAAGTGCAGAATGTGCAGCAAGCAAGGAAACTGGTTCTCCTCCTGAGTGGGAGCAACTGTGATCTGCATGCACCATATGGATGCTCTTCCATGTATCCAGAGAGCAGAAGAGTTATTTCTACTTCCAGAAGAAATGTGTGTGTCCTGCCCCTTTGATGTATTAGAGACATTGAAGAGTTGAAGACAAATAACCTTGGATTTTGAGGCTTCCGTTTTTTCTCTTGGTACTTGATGCATTCACTGGGATAACATCTGTTTTGGAGGTTTTAGTAGGATCAGTACAAGTTAGAGAGCTCGGTTTTGTTGGTCTGATTAAACATCTCGGCTCCAGGTGGGTGTGTAGAATGGCTCTGAAGCTGCTGAGAATGTGTGTGTGTGTGTGCAGAGGGCAGCAGTCGCATTTTTGGGGCATTAGTGTGTAGAAACTTGGATCAACCTTGAAGATACTAAGTCAGCCTGTGAGGCAGATCCTGGTCCCCAACAGGAGTCAGCAAATGCCACCAGTTCTGCTGTCCATGGCTTCTGATAGGTACAAGGTCCCTTGAGTTTCTGAGTTTTCATGATGTGGAGAGCCCCAGGTACTGCAGCTCCAGAGGTCCAGGGATCCCCAGAGGATGCTGGAGCCTCAGCTGCTGCTTTGTTCTGTGGAGGGACACGCTCTTTTCTTTCCATTTCCAGCCTGCCCATGACTCTGCCAACCAGGTCTTTAGACAACTTTTTTTCTTCAGCCTGTGCTTTCCTTCCTCCAGTTGGCCCCCAAAGCTGCAGGTTGAGCCCTGCATGGCCAAGGTCCCAACCACACTCAAGTGGAGCAAAGCACTGCCCAAGTCCATCCTTCTGCCCTAAGATCTGGGTGCTTCACCACGGTCCATGCGTGGGTGAGATATTCACCTCCATCTTTGTCCTGTGCTTGGGCTCTCATAACTTCACAGGACCCTCAGCTCTTGCCATCCTCTCCAGGGTATCATGGCAAACAGGATCCCTCTTGCCCTCTGAACAAATGGCCCCATCACATGAGTGACCTGGTCACCTTGATGGCAGTGGAGTAGCACTCCAGCCTGGTCCCTCTGAGCTCTGTATCTGGGTACTGTAGGTCTTCTACGTGCCTGTCACCCGTGTGGGTGCTTGAGCCCTGTCAGCAACAAACATCTTGTGGTGAGACCCAGCATAAATCTTGTAGGCAAACAGATTATTGGCTGTTTTGGAGGTTGACAGAATTCCTGTTTGAGAGCAGTCCTATCCAAAACACTTGGCTTCAAAATGAAAATGGAAGATGTTCACATTGCAGTCCATTTATTGGCCTTTATTGTGGGTTTTGTTTTGTTTTTGTTTTTGTTTATTGGCAGGAAGGGAGGAGTCTAGATTGGATGTCATTCAGGTGCAATCTGGAAGAGAGAAACGTGGTTGGAAGTGACGTGGGGCCGAACAAACGATTCTGTTTAGTTCTCCCCAAACGTATTTTGCTTGGAGATAGCCAAACTCAGACTAGATAGACATGGACCTGGTCAACCTGCTGTAGGTGACCCTGCTTGAGCAGAGTTGGTTGGACTAGATGATCTCCAGAGGTTGCTTCCAACCTCAAGTGTCCCATGATTCTTCCTGTTGAGGACAGGCAGTTGAGACCACTGTGGTTTCACATTGCGGGCTGATGTCTTGACTGTTGAGCCAAAGGCCTTTTCAACCCCACAGAGCAGGAGTTACTCCCCACCATCCATCCATCCATCATGCAGGGCCATGCACGGATGATCTTCAGTTTTGCTGAGTTTTCCTCCCCTTTCTTTCCTTCTGGTGGCAAAAATAAGAGCCAAGCCTTCTCTTTGCCAAGGTGCACGTGCCGTGATGCGAGTGCCAGCGTGCTGGCGTGTGGTAGAGCTGGAGCTTTCTGTACAAGTAGCAGTGGGACAGGGCGAGAGGACAACCGATGGATAATAGCAACGTGAAGGGCCTGGAGGCAACCGGAGGTTCCCGTCCACCTTGCAGCCCCGTTGCACTTGGAGGGGAGGACGCAGCTCCTCACCCTCACCTCCAAGGTCCCCTTCTTTGCACCCACACTCTGACCAGGACCCCATGAGATTTCCTGGGCCGAGGGGCACCTCTGGGACCCCGCTGGGCTGCAGCCCGGCATGCGCACGCTGCTTTCCTCGCGGGGCCGGGCAGCGCCGAGCCTGCGGCTGGCCGGCCGCGGAGCGGGCTCGCGCTCGCCGGGGCGCCTCGCGCTCACTCTCGTTTTCTCTCCCGCCGCAGAGCTCCTCCGCGTACCTCTCGGGGCTGTACGGAGCCTCCCCGGTTGGCGCCTTCCCACATCAGCACCCCGTAAGTGCCGCGGCCCCCGCGCCGCCAAGCTGCGCCCTGCCCCGCTCTCGCCTCCCGTTTTGCACCCTGCTCTTGCCCCGGGCTCTGCACGGCGCTTCCCGCTGGAGCTGCAGGCACCTCCCTGCCCCTTGCTCGTGCGCTTGGCTCTCAGCCCTGCAAGCACACGCTCACCTTGGTCTGTCTTGCAGCTGCAGGGGACCCGTTTCCCCTTCCCCTCTCCCCGGTGCATTTGCAGTCCTTCCCTTCTCTAGCTGCACAACGAGGGGGCTTTCTGTAGGGTGCAGCAGAGCAGCCCTCCTGGGCTCCTGGTGTGTGGTTCCTTGGAGCTCTCCATGCTGACAGGACTTGCTGCCCGCTACCTCTTTGCCAGCCTCCCCTCTCTCCCCCAGCTCAACCTCTGGGCAAGCTCTGCAGGCGGGCTGACATCCCTCTGGCATCAGCTTAGCAGCCAGACGTCGCACGCGAGGACTGCCGAGAGCTAGGTGAATGTTTCCTGGAGGAGACGCGTTGGGCAGGAGGCACGTGTGTGTGTGTGCAGAGGTCTGGGCTCTGCAGGCTGTAGAGCAGGAGAAGTGGCTCTGCGTCTCCTTCCCTTTGGCTTTGCATCTGACTCCCTTTCTCCTGCCCCTGGGCTCCCTTTCTCCTGCCCTCCCTTCTTCCTTCTGGAGCAAGCACATCTCATGTCTCCCCATCCCGTCCTCCTGCTCCGTGCCTCTCGAGGCCACCACCAGGCAGCTGCGCCGGACGGCGCTGGCCACGGTGGGAGAGCCCAGCTACCGGGTGGTGACAGGAAGGTGCTGGGCATGGGGGATGCAGTTGTCTGATGATGTGGACTCGTGGCTCTGGTGGGAAGCCTGGGCCTGGCAGAGCTCCTGCGCGTGGGCAAGTGGCCTGCGGGCCAGCAGAGAGCAGGGGCAGGAGAGCCTGGGACTGTGTGTTGTGACAGGGTCCAGGGCACATGTGTCCTGCAGCACAGCAGGTCCTGCAGCCCTCCCAGGGCTGGTGGAGGATTCTCTTATCCCAGCAGTTTTCTGAGTGAGGATGTGTGAGCCAGAGGAGCCCACAGAGCCCTGCCTGCTGGTCAGAGGAGAAGCACTATCCTTCCTAGTTGCCCCTCTGAAACATCTCACCCTTCCATGTGTCTCCCAGCTCCCGGAGCAGGAGGTTGTGAATCTGTTCATCCCGACGCAAGCGGTGGGGGCCATCATTGGGAAGAAGGGGCAACACATCAAACAGCTTGCGAGGTTTGCTGGAGCCTCCATCAAGGTAAGCAGAGCATCGGGTACTGCTTGGTCCTCAGGGTCTCCTCCATCTCCGTGCTGCTGGGGTATCCCAAACCACAGGCTCTTGCTGTTTCCCCCATCACCTCATTACTCAGCTCCTGGGGGTTGTGCCTCTGTTTCTGCTGCTGGGTGTGACAAAAGGGTTCCCCAAACAGTGGTAGCCTGGGGGTGCTTGTGCTGGGGACCTGCCACCTCCTCATCCCTGGCAAGCTGCAAGCTCCACAGTTCCCTGCCTGCTGGGAGGTGGCAAATGTGTCTCCCCACCCCGCAGGGCATCCAGGCTTTCTCCCCGTGTTGCCTCCAACAGGCACTTATAAACTCTCAGCAGGATGGAAATGGCTTGTTAAGGCTGGGCATGTGCCAAAGGTGACATTCAGCAGATTCACCCTTCCAGCTCTCCCGGATCCTTTAGGAAGAGAGTGATCTCGCAGAGGACAAAAATAGCTCAGCATGATGAGCTGGTGTCCACCAGACCATGTGCCCTTGCTGTCTGGTAGAGAGACAGCTCTGTTGTAGGGCGGTGACACTCCTCCAGATGCATAGCACAAGAAGCACGTTGCCAGAACATGCTGCTTGCTTAGTAGCTGCTAGGGGGACCATTCGCTTTGTCCCCATCGCCCCTGCCCTGCAACCCCATGGGTCTCCATGCGTGATGCTAAATTTGTGCTAGCTTTGTGAGCTGGACGTGTGCCTGCTCTCCTGGGGGTGCCTGCAGCCACCAGTCCATAGGAAGATGATGGAGCGCTCCATGATGCCCGGGTGCTGCTGGTTCTCAAGCCAGCTGTCTGCTCAGGTGCTGCTCCCAGGAGGGTGTCTGCGGGATCTAGCTCAAAACTCCTGGGGTGGACTGGTTGTGCCAAAGGCACTCATGCCCTGGCTTCTCCCATGGCTCACAGATTGCACCAGCAGAAGGTCCCGAGGCCAGTGAGCAGATGGTTGTCATCACGGGGCCACCCGAGGCCCAGTTCAAGGTGAGCTGGCTGCAGGACGTGGCTGGGGATGTGGGGTGGGTGAAAGGGGGACCAAAGACACCGTGGAGCAACCCCTCTTGCCGGAAGATGCAGCAGGCAGAGGCACTGGAGGAAGGCAGCAGTGCCTTTTCTGGGCACTGGTCTCACAGTGAGGACACCTGGGCCTGCAGGTATTTGTGGGTCCAGTGGCTGAGATACACAAGGGCTGGAGAGGGCACCAAAGCAGTGAGGCCACCTTGCTCGGTAGCTCCATCTGGGTGCTCCTGGTTAGGCAAGGAAAGGACCTTGCTCCACAGGTTCAACACGGCTGGAGGAGTGGGTTGGGTTTAGCATCCAGCTCCTCCATATAGTCCCACCAGGTCTACAAAGGAGCCCGGAGCTCTGTGTGCCCTCTCGCAGGTTGCATGGCCCAGGTGCTCCTCTCTACCTCTCACTGATCTTGCCTCATCCTCCCGCAGGCCCAGGGGCGGATATTTGGGAAGCTCAAAGAAGAAAACTTTTTTAACCCGAAAGAAGAGGTGAAGCTTGAAGCCCACATCAAGGTGCCTTCCTTTGCAGCCGGCCGCGTGATAGGCAAAGGTGGCAAAACGGTACGTTGGGGTGGGGCTGCAGAGAACCATGGCTCTCACTCACACACGCAGCTACAGTTGCAGGTTTTCTTTGAGGTGAAGGGCCACCAGAGCCATGCAGTTGTCCCTGCTATCTCCAAAGGGCACCTCAAGAAGGCTGAATACAGAGGCTTGTTTCCAGCAGCATTCAGACCGTGGTGCAGTCAGGTCCAGCGGTGACGGTGGCTCTTGCTGGGTGATGGTCCCTAGGGTGGGTCAGAATCAGACCCTCTGCAGCCAGTGATGGGAGCTGAGTGGGAGGGATTGCTGGTGCTGCCACTTGGCTAGGATGGGAAGACACCAAAAATGGGATTTTAGCCTTTGAAGAGCTGCACAAAAATGAGGGCTGTTTCTCTTGGTTCAGGTGAACGAACTGCAAAATTTAACCAGTGCAGAAGTCATTGTGCCACGAGACCAAACCCCAGATGAGAACGAGGAGGTCATCGTTAAAATCATTGGACATTTCTTTGCCAGCCAGGTAAGGTTTTGAAATATAATTTTTTAACACATATATACACATATATACTCCTTATTGATTGGATTCCTGGAAGGGAAACCTGTCAGTCTCGCCAGCTGACACCAAACATGTGAGTGTTCCTGTTTGCACATGAGGATCTCTGGTCTTGATGGGTCCCTCGCTTCCTGGAGGCGTGAGAGCTATTTCAGGAGCTCTCCCCAGGTGCATGGGCACTAAGCATGAGGGTAACATTAATCTAACTGAAAATAGGCCCCCGCAAGTGATCTTAAACACCCCACGTGGTGACATCCAGGGTGGGAACCATCTCTCCCACAAGCACATCCCAAGTACCTTGGGCTTGTAACCGAAATGCTGGTGCTGGTGAGGGTGTCCAGCTGACTAAGACCCATCTCTACCAGGGCTACCGTAGGTATATGATGGTGGAGGACGTGAATTCCACCTTAGTGCAGAACCCATAGCCTGCTCACCTACAAGCAACTGCTCAGATGGGACAGCATCACCCAAAAACGTTCACTCTTGGAAATGGTGCATGCAAAAATGATGCGTTGCAGGGTGTTTCTGTAGTGTAGTGGTTATCACGTTCGCCTCACACGCGAAAGGTCCCTGGTTCAAAACCAGGCAGAAACACATTTTCTATGGGCTGCTCAGCTTCACCTTTGACCCTGGAAAGGTGACGGAGCAGCTTGTCCTAGAGACCAGCTCTAGGCATGTCAAGGAAAAGAAAGTGACCAGGAGTGGGCAGCACAGAATCACCAAGGGGAAGTCCTGTTTAAACAACCTCATAACCTTCTCCGATGGGATGATGGGCTGGCTGGATGAGAGGAGAGTTATTTACCTTGACTTCTACAAGCCTTTTGACTGTCTCCCATAACATCCTCATGGGGAAGCTCAGAAGGCATGGGTTACATGTGTGGATAGTTTGCATCAGTGACTTGGATGAGCGGACAGTGCACCCTCAGCAAGTTTGGGGATGATGAGAAAAAAACAATAGGTGGAGTGGGTGGCACTCCAGAGGGCTGTGTTGCCATTCAGAGGAACCTGGACAGATTGGAGAGCTGGGCAGAGAGGAACTTCATGAGGTTCAACAAGGGCAAGGTCAGGGTCCTGCATCTGGGGAGGAGTAACCCCAGGCATCAGTACAGATTAGGTGTTCACCTGCTGGAGAGCAGCTCTGCGGAGAGGGACCTGGGAGTCCTGGTTTACAAGTTAACCATGAGTCAGCAGTGCCCTCGTGGCCAAGAAGGCCAGTGGGATCCTGTCCTGCATGAGGGGGATGTTGTCAGCGAGTCGAGGGAGGGGATCCTGCCCGTCTGCTCAGCTCTGGTGAGGCCGCACCTGGAGTATTGGGTGCGGTTGTGGGCTCTCCAGGACAAGAGGGACATGGAGCTTCTAGAGAGGGTCCAGGGCAGAGCAACGAAGAGGAGCAGGGGACTGCAACATCTATCTTATGAGGAAAGACTAAGCGAGCAGGACCTGTTTAGCCTGGAGACAAGATGATTGAGGAGGGGATCTTATCAACATGTAGAAATACCTGAGAGGAGGAGGAGAATGGGGCGAAAACTCTTCTCAGTCATGGGCAGTAGCAGGACACGGGGAAATGAGTACAAAGTGAAGCATAGGAAGTTTCATCTCCATGTGAAGAAGAGGTTCTTTCCTGGGAGAGTGACAGAGCCCTGGAAGAGGCTGCGAGGAAAGGTTGTGGAGGCTCCTTGCCTGGAGATTAACACCTGCCTGGCTGCGCCCCTGTGGCCTGTGCTGTAGGTGTCCCTACTTAAGCTGGGGGTTGGACTAGATAAACTCTAGAGGTCCCTTTGAGCCACAACCATTTTGTGCTTCTGTGAATACATGGATTGCAAGGGAAAGCTTGTAAATGAGGTTACCCACCCGCTTGTTGTGGTTCTAGCCTGTTTTACCTCCAAGAGTCCAGCGGCCAGAGCTGAAGGCCACCTGGTCACGGCCTTTCTTCTCACTGCTCTCGCTCTGCCCACAGACCGCGCAGCGCAAGATCAGGGAGATCGTTCAGCAGGTGAAGCAGCAGGAGCAGAAACATGCTCAGGGAGCCCCGGCCTCGCAGCACGGCAAGTGAGGCTCCCGGCGGGCCGGCCAGCAACCCCCGGTGAATGTACCCCTGCCCACGCCTGCCACGACGAGCCCGACAGCGGAGCAAACCAAAGACCCGTCCTGAGGCACGAAAGTCTGCCCGCGGCCGGGGAGGGGGCCCTGTGGAGCGCGGACGGACGGACGGACGGTGACGGGTTCCCACCTCGGCCCCACTGAAGATGCCGCGGCCCCGGAGCGCCGCACCCCTGGGCAACGCGCCCCAGCGCCCTATCCAGTACCGACGCTATCCCTTGAGTTGGACTAACATAGGCAGAGATTCTTTGAAATTTTGGGTTTTTTTTTGTGTTTTTTTTTTCTCTCACCCTACAATCAACCCCTTGATGACTCTTTTTTTGCAGCCTGCTCTTAGTACCCATGTGGCCATTACTTAGAAGAGAAGACTCTCCAGCATGGGGAGCTGCAGGGCCCCGTGCAGCAGGCACAGCAGTGTCAATGTATTTTAGAATTAATGCATCAATAACTAAACCAACGCTAATTTCCTTTTTCAGTTTTCTTTTTGTAATTTCAAAGCGGGGGACAGTTGGAATTTTGGGTGAGGAGGTGGGCTTTCTTTAGGAAAATAAGAAACAGGCTTTTCTAGGCTTTTAAGGAAGGACACTGGTCTCTCGGTTCTCTGATGCAAAGTACAGCAGAGATTCGGGATTGCCAGGAGGGAAAAGAAAAACAAATGTGGAAAAAAAAAAAAAAAAGGCAATTCAAGGGCTTTGAAAGGGGAACAGCCATCGTGCACAATGGGGATTGCCTGTCTAAGCCAACCAAAGGGATACCGTCTTTTTTTTCCAGAGGATTCTCTCTCTCTCTCTCTTGCCCTGGGCCTTTTCCTCTTAGCTTTGCTGAGTCCCACCTGGGTTGTGCATCAGTCTGCCCTGCTCTGTCTGTCTGTCTTGCCTTTGCCACCAGACAACGCAGCGCTCTCGCTCCCCGCCACCAGCAGGGCCACCCGACCACAGCTGCTCGGGGTAGCGCTGGCCCGAACCCATGGTACTGAAGCCAGCAGTTCTTTTTCTTGCAAGAAAAAGAAAATACCCAGCAAACACACCCCAAACAGCTCTCTAATAATGATGATGGTGTCCTTGCCTCCACCCAAACCAGGTAAGTGGGAGAGCCCCCGCCTTGCATGGCAAAAGGGCCACCACTACAGCCTTGAGTTGGGGAAAAGATCCCTTTATTTTTTTAACATTGGAGGGAGAGAAGGGGCAAGAACTGAGTTATAGAGGTTGCTGGCCCAGGGCTTGAAAAAAAGAAGAAAAAAATAACTTAAAAAAAATAATAGCCTCCCCCACAGATGTATACACATACACACAAAAAAAGATTAAAAAAAAAAACTACCTCAGGTTTTCGTACCTCAGCACCTTGCGCTTGTGTTTCCCTTTTAGAGATTTTGTATGCCTTGTAAAACTGATAGTTGAAGCATTTTTCTTTTTTTATTATTTTTTTAATAAAAAAATGAGTTGGAAAATGAAAAATAAAAACTCTAGAGCAAGTCAGCTGCGAGGCGGGAGAAGGAAACTAGCCCACCGTGTCCCAGAGCTCTTCTGTAGTCTCCTCTTGCTAGCTGAGAGCCAGTGGCCATTCCTTCGGAGAAAGCTTGAGAAGTGGTTTTAAGATAAAAAGACAAAAAAAAAAAGAAAATGAGAAAAAGAAAAAAAAAAAAAAGAAAAAAGACCAACAACAAGAGTGGGAAAAAGTGTACAAATAACTCAACCCAAGCGGTGGACCAGCAGGGCACCGCGCGAGGAGCCTTTGCCTGGGTAGGGTGATTGTTCTCTGGTGTTGGGATCACACACTGCGACACCAGGTTTTTCTTTCTCTACAACCAGTGTTCTGTGAAAAAATAAAACAAAAACACCACCACCAAGAAGAAAAAATAAAAATAAAAAAAGAAATATATTCAGCTAACCTGAGGCTGTGTTTGCTCTCCGTTCTTTTCGCTCATGTTCTTTGCAGTGGGGCGGGAATGGGTCCTGGGCTGCGTGACAGCACAGGGTGGCCATCCAGCTCCCGCTGTCTCCATCATGGTCACTGGCTGGGGAGGGGGTGTCTGCCCTGCTTGGACCACCACGATGATGGGGGCTTGGAGACAGGGGCTGGGTTTTGGGCCATTTCTTGAGGAGCACCCACATGCTGACACCCCCCCACACAGTCTCAGTGCCTTGGAGGAGCCAGATGCAGCCGCTGGGCAGTGCGGGGAGCTGCTGGGGAGCTTCCACCACCCTTCCCTTCTCCTGGAAGGGATGTTTATGGTATCTCCATCTCCAGTGAAGCAGTGCTGGGTCCAAGTCTTCCCTAGCCCAGCCTAACCTGGCTTCAAAACACACTCCGGCTCCCGTCAGAGCTTTCAGGCTGTCCAGAGGAGGTGGGTGGTGGTTATGGCAGTGCCCTGAGCACATTTGACACCTCCTTGGAGATGCTGCCACCGTTAAGCTGCCTCATTTTGCACTGAGCTAGCCACCATGGCCAGCAAAGGCAAACTGCCAGCATGGCACTTCTGCATTTATTAATGGAGATCACTAACGGGGATCCCAAAGCCTCCCTAGCCACTCCAATAGCTTGGCCTCTGACTAACCAGGAGCTGGGCTTAGCAGCAGAGAGGAGCCCACCACCTCCACAGGCTGATGGTGTTAGAAGGGCCGATGCCAACGAGAGAAGGGGAACAAAACCAAGGCCCTGAACATAATGCAGTGATTCACTCCTGTCGCGGGTGACTCAGCCCTGGGGCGGCTCGTGCTCACCAGGGCTTTAATGATTTCTGCTTGACCCACATTCGCCTGCTCCTTCCTGTGAGTAAGGCAGCCATCACCCCGCGGCAGGAAAAGGGCAAACCAGGACGAAGAGCCCATCTCCGTGCCCACGAAGGCAGCCAGGGACCACAGGATTAGTCACCCTGCGTCACAGGCCGGCGTGTGCTCCCAAGCCAGCACAAAGGGAAGGGGCAGCAATGAGCTCCAATAGCCCCTTTGCTGGCTACAATGAGCAGAGAGGGACTGAGACGCAGCCAAGCGTGTTGAAGGCAGTAAGACATGGCCAGGGCTGCAATTTTAACCATGTGACATGGAAGCTATGACCAAAAACCCACCATCCTTCACCAGATCTGAGAAGCTCTTCAGCACCAGTCAGGTGAATGCATCAGACACCCCTTCCACCTTATGTTACAGAAAGGGGAGAGCACAGGCACAGGGCTGCTGTGTCTATACAAACATTACTTAGTTTGCTAAACTAACCTCTGTCCGAGGAGAGCCGAGCAGGTAGAACTCATGCAAGCACTTCACAGGGCAAGACCTAGGGAGGCCATGCCTACAGGAGAGGAGGATTAAGCAGCTGCAAGGAGCAGCACATTCTTGCAACCCCAAAGTGTGTGGTAGGACACAGGTTAAAACCCTCTGCATCTGTACCAGAACCTGGTACTACATCTTATTCCACTGCCCCAGAGCAACACTGCTCTTTAATATACTCTGTGAAGACTACTGAGCACACCCCCTTCTCTGATCATAGAGAGGGCAGTTTATCTCATGGAGAAGCCTACTGAGTTATCCCAAAATAAGATCTGTTCTTCAGCCCTGTACTTAGATATTGCCTGTATTAAGCTTCAAACTTCATTTCTTTACTGAATGACATTCCAATGGGGATGTTGGGATTGTGTGACAGATGCTTAGATGCTTTTGTGCTCCACTATTCATCCTGGCTCGTTGTCTTCACTGCGGATAAGTGAGCTAGAAATCACTCTGCAAATGCAAACCTCTTCACTCATACAGAAAAAAATCACTTCAGTACAGGTAGAGTTTTTCCAATAAGTCTCTTTATATAAGTTACATATTTATTTTAACAAAGAAAACAAATAAATACTTCTCTCTTCACATTAGATAACTCCATGGAGACGCAAAAAAAACAAAAAAACCCACAAACCCCAACGACAAGGGGCTTCACTATGGATTTGTTACAAATCGAAGACTAAATGCTTTCTTCTTATGGTCATCACAAATCCAGTTTTAGGAATCAAGTAGATCGTAGATATTCCAGAAACAGAAGAAAACTCTCCTTGAAGAAACAGCACATTGTCCTTATGGAGACTAGTTTTGGTACCAGAATCGTTACCGTCACAAATAAAAGTCCTGCTTGTCTGTAATCTGGCCCACGTGTGCTGCGAGGCATGAGCAGAGCTTCAAGGTATAGCAGCTGTTCTTAACCATTCCTTGGGAAACAGCACAGCAAACTGTCTCGCACTTAGGGTGCATTAGCTAATTTCAAAGAGAGTTACTGTCTCCAAAAAAAAAAAAAAAAACCACTACTTTATAGCCTAAAGAGGAAAATTTGTGTGCCTGTTGCCTTTTGAAATAAGGCATTAGAAAAATAATTAAAATGAGTTAGTCACCACATGGTGATCACAGTGTTACTCTAATAGTGCACGTGTCACAGCAGCTGCCGATGGATTATTTCCCACACCATCTTCCTGCGGAAGTAAGGCATGTTATTCTGAAAAGAAAAAGAAGAAATCATTAAATAGAAAGTCACATTTGAGAGAGGCAGAAATACATATAGGCATCCAGCTTAAACTCCGTCACATGAAGGAATTATATTTTATGAATGGTCAACATCTGCCACTTCGGGCTTACCCCACTCCCCTACTAACTGTTTTTACGTTTAAAAAGAAGCCCCTAAGACTTCAGAGTTAGCAGCTACACAACTTGCCCAGCTTTCAATTGTGTGAGAAATCTAACAAATATATATTTATTTTAAATGAGCTTCACTCACCTGTGTGAAAGTGATAGGTTTATCTCTGGAGATATAATCTGCATATTTGCACATAAAAACCCCACAGTCGCTTCCATTAAGTTGCTGGGGAATTTCCTAATTAAAAAAAGAAAAAAGGAATAAGGTGACTTTTCCTCTGTCCTGTTTTTCCAGTTGAGTCTTTAGATAGTAGATCTAACAGTGAAAGATAGTTAAGAGACATCAACCTTTTGGCTTTGTTGCACACCACAGAAGCATTAAAGGCCCAAATGCAAAACTGTTTTTAGGAGCTTACACCCTCCAATCAACTAAACAGACTCTTAAACGTGACTTACAAACCTGGGACAAAAATCAGATTCAGCTGATGTTGTAGGGGATGCTTTTTTTTTTTTTTTTAAGTCTATAACTAGTTAAAAAAGTTTTCACTCTGCAAGGAGAGGTGCTGCTTAAGTACCTCTTAAATATCTTAGAGTTATTAGTATATCAAGACCTTCATGATGAGCAGTTATAGCTCACATTTCAAATCATAGTGCTCACATACATGCGACTCCATGCTGCGAAGATTCCACTCTGAAAAAGACAACTCCAGATTTCTTTTTTCCTTGCTTTCTTCTTGCAGATATTGGCTGTTTGAAAGAGAAACTACGATCAGCCTTCATATCCATATGAACAACAAAAAAGAGCTGCAGAAGGATCAAAGAATACTGAATGGCCACAGAGCAAAGTGTCAGAGGATATTCAGCTGAAGGCATTTGGAAGAAAAAAACTAGAATTTTAACTTTATGCGTAGTGACAGGCTGTACACTTCCCTTACATTCCTCCCCTCCTGCCAACAGCTCAGCTTTCTGGACTGCTAACAATGTTAATTATCTGTGCCACAGGCTTATTGTACTTTTGGTAGCGAAGCTCTGGCTGTGAATATTTTGTGAAGTTGGCAGAACGCAGGCACGGAAGGGACAACGCAACAGTGGGTAAGTAATCGATGGCAAAACTCGTGTGCAACTTGCAGCGAGCGAAAGAGAAGGATTTCAAGTTCTCTGGTTTGTATCTACGAGAAAAGGGAGAACATCTAGTCATGTGTTAAGGGGAGAAATCGGAAAAAAAAACACCACAAGAAACCTACACACAAGCAAGAAACTTTTGATGGTTGAAGCAGTTACTTACAATAAAGTTCCACAAATCTTGTCACCCTTTTGTCCCATCGAGTCGAAGTATCTGATGCTCTTCCTCCTGACATCTATAACCTGTTGGAAGAACATGATTAAGTTGGTTAGACCCAGCACGAGCTTCTGCTAAGAGACATTTCTTGCTTGTTTTTCTTTTCCCCTCCACATCCAATTCAAGAGAAAAGCCAGTTTGACTCACCACTAGTGCCCAGTGCACTCTTAAGTGAATGGGCACTAAGATGAGGTCCTGCTTGAACAGATCCATGCCTCTGGTCCATCGTCTTACTGCTTTGTAGCCCCCAGCAACAAGCTTGGGATAGAAGAAAGTGCTAAAAGCGTAAAGCGCTGGATATCCTTCTTGCCTATTTCTTTCCATCAGCAGATTCATGTAGAAATTAATGATCTGTGTATCAAGAGCAAGCATTACATGAGAATTAAGACACTGGATCACCAAAACAAACGTACAGCAACACTTATCTGCTGGCCACCACTGAGAATGCAGCTGTTAAACCTCCAGTCTCAGCTTTCAGCTTTTGCCCCAAGAACACAGCACTTAGTTTTGCAGTTTCATATAAACACCTGTAGCCCATTCCAACTAACCTAGCTATGGATTTGATTAAATTCTGAAAGCTATGCAATAGAAGAAATAAAAGTGCTTCTTCCAGCAGTCTTTCATAAAGGCCTTAAAAAACAAACCCCCAGACCCCGACAAGTTTTACCTCATCATTTAGCCACTGAAGGTTCCTTAGTGTGTGGATGTCCTCACGGGTGACCTTCAGCTTGAAGGCACTGCTTATGACTTCCTCAGGATTGCCTTCATCAAAAGCAGCAATAATTTCTCTCTCCATGGGCTGAAATAGAAATTGGAAATAGCTCAAAAAGGTTCTGGGCACGCTACTCCAAAATACAAGAAACAAATACAGCAAATGTCTTCTCCCACATAAAGCTGATGCCCTCCCAGTACTACTGTACCTCTGTGAGCACAAAAAGACTTTCTGCTCTTCTTTCTGAGCTTGGGACTTTCTTCTCTTCCACATCAAGAGTGGATGACTTTCTGGATGAAACAGGAGCCAGATGTAGTTTAAACGACACTTCATCCGAGATTTCTGAGCGAAGTTGTCTCTGTTGGACAAAAGGACATGAAGGTAACAAACAGATACAGATTTGTTTGGCTTGAGAATAATGCAACAAGGTCTTACTCCCGCATAAAAATAGAAGGATATTTTGTATGTGCATCCAAACAGCAAACTCCAGTTTTATTAGTACTGCCACTGAAGCTACATTTAAAATCTAGAGCCAAAATAGTTCAGAAATAGGTTTCCTGCTGCCATTTTTTTTTGTGAAAACACAACTCAACTGAACAACCCTCCCCACTTCCCTGGGAAAAACAAACTAAAATAAAATAATAATAAAAAAAATCACTGGATAAGTACTTAACTCTATCCTTACATGTGCTGCTGAGTGAGTGCAGAATTGTGTGATCAAAGTTACCCAATCAGTAATTTATCACTGATAAAATATAAGCAAGACAGGCTTACCCCTTCACTGGCCTGCTTCACTAGTCTTCTGTGTTCATGGGAGCTCTCTGCTGGTGGGTAATACCTGGAGGAAGGAAAGAAGGAAAGAAAGGAGTCATTTCCAGGGTCACTGCATTTAATTCCGCAGAACCCATCTTCTCGTGAAGAAACAATTTTGGTGGAGCTGCATCTCGCTAGAAGCTCTGGTACACACGTAAAGAGGAGACATCATCTCAACTGTCAGCACTACTCTCTTGGAGCAGCCCAAGTGGGAAATAAGGGTGAGCTGGGAGTCTTTCCTACTTCCTCCCATCAACACACACAAGATTCCTTTTGTTTCTCTACCAGTTTCATTACTTGAAAAACAAGGAAGCAACCAACACCTCTTCTATAACATGTTTTGGGATGTGCTGGTGAGAAATGCTGCCAGCTAAGCTTTAAAATGCAGTGTGTAACAAATATTGCAACTGTACTAGCATCCAAATATTTCAGCTTACTGAAGACCAGCACATTCAGTTAAAAAAGGGCAGCTAAAAGGTGTTTACTTGCCTACTCCTAGGCTAGTCAAGAGTGACTATCCCCATTTGGAGAGGATTAGCATTAGAATAATGCAGACTCTGAACAGCAAGCAAATACATAGACATTAAAGCTGTCCATTTGGAGGTATCTTTTCCTCCAAAAAACAAACATTTGCATTTCAAAGACTTCCCCTTTTCCAGGGGAAGACTTGCAGCAGACTCAGGGTATCCCACACTCATTGTTTTTTAAAGACATTCAATCCAGCACAGCAAGAGCCTTGGCAAATGACTTCAGTTAGGAGCTAAACCATGCTTAAAGCTAAATTCTGCTTAGGACACAGCAGCTTCAAAGCAAAAGGAGTAAAAAGCCAACTTGTTAATGGTTGGGACACCCTCAAGGGATGAAGATGGCCACATTCCCTGCAACTGCAAGGACAGCTTGGCAATGCCACCACTTTCATCCTCTGCTGACTGTATAGAAGAGGACTTTGTACCTGATCGTGTCATTTTTCTGGGACAACTGTGGGCCGTGAGCATCAGCACGTTTCATACCTGCACAGAAACACGGTAAAGCATTAGCAGAGAAACAAAAAGATCATTTGCAACTGCAAGATGTACGTGGCTCTCAGTTTATGGGTGATTGCACAAAAAAAAATCTGATAATGACTGGAGGTTAGAAAGTTTGAACCCCAACAACACCCCTCTTGAATATCACGTGCATATTTATGGCAATTGAAGCACGAAATGTACTAAGTTTTGAAGCCTAGATGAGACACTTGACCAAGTTAGTTATGAACCTATTAGTTATGGTAAAGATATATAAAGAAAACTTGATAAAAATGGTATTGTGCCAATCCAGAAAAGCTGCAATCAGCTTGTTTGCTTTTGAAGCTGCTATCATGAAAGCAGTCAAGCACAGCATTAAAAAGGGATTAAAGAACCACGTATAATCCAATTTTTAAGTTAAATAAAAGTCATCTAGGAGTGTACAGCTAATTTATCATACTCTACTACTGCAGACAGCCTGATCCTAAACAGTTTATTGGTGTATGTGTGGGGGTGTGTGTGTCAAGTTATGTCTACACCATCATTAACACAGCCAACAGCTCTCAGGTTTAACTTTAACACACCTTTTCACTCCAACAAAAGCTTTACAAAGCCCCTTCATCTAGTAACCATGTTTTCTTCCTTTCCTTCCAGAGTTTCTTTTGTTCAAAGAATTGACATGAGCTACACTGGAATGAATGCTTTAACCCATCTGGGGTTCCTTATAAAGAGATGCAGCTTGAAAATACAGCAGTACCAACAAATCTTTTTAATACAGACTGCATCTTCAAGACTTAAGGGAACACCTTGTTTGTTTAATGCTACCTGTAAAATGGAACAGACATGAACAGAGATACTCACTGGTTTTTAGTGTCATACGTTGGTAGTGGTCTTCACTTCGTCTTTGTTCTCCCAAATGACCTGGAATCACCCCGGGTTCCTTGGAGTAGGCTTGAGCACTTTGATGCAGCAAGAAACACAGGAGAAATTCATATATATATATATATATATATATATATATATATATATATATATATATATATATATATATATGAGTGAGGCATTTATTTTTTTCTTTTTTAAGGCATCTCCCACACTGGTTTCATCACAAAATGCAAAAAGTTTTCTATTAATAGTTGGGCAGTTTACACTCAAAAGCCTGACTGCTTTCTAATCACACATACTGGAGATATAAGGAGTCAATTTTTCTATGTGCAAAATTTTGAGAGAGACGAGTAAGTCACAAAATTTGCTTCTTTTACTTCTCCACAAGCACCTTAAATTCTTGTTTTAAACTGCCATAGTTAATTCAGTGCAATAGCCTGACACTGTGACAGCTATAAGATACCTTCATACTTATAACTGGTATATAAGAATCAAAAGTACCCACAAGATGCCTTTATGCTTGCTCTAAGCTCTGGGATTCTATACACAGGGCTGCACACTACAAAGAGACCTTTTAGTTGGTACTACAACCACTGCCAGATTTTTTTTATACTCTACAATCACCGTCACAGATATTTATACTAGAAGTTATGTTACTAGGAAATATTTTTTAATGCAGATATAAAGAGCATCAACTTTCCTTCCTGTTCCCATGTACAAAAGCTATAAACTTGCTACCAAAATTTAGTGTTTTTTTTTCTGGACACTAATTACCTGTAGAAGCTTGTAGACTGAGAAGCAGGGCAGCTTCTAGGATACTTCTCCTTTACTAGCTTCAAGAGTTGTTTGTATTTCTCCTTTTCACCTCGTCGGACATCCTAGCAGAGGGGGAGAAAACAAACACACACACGTTATAACCACTGTCTATGAAGCAACACAATACTATAAGTTTGGTGCAAATTGCACAAGTGTTTCCAGAACCCTGGAAAAGTGTTCAGATTTATTCCAGCAGGAATTCCCACACCCTCAAGCTCACCTCTTCGGCAGCACAGGAAGGCCTCCCCATCTTGCCAGATTCCGAGGATGTGGATTCCGGCATAACGTGCTCCCTGATGGGTGGCCTCAGGGTTAAGGCATCTTCTACAGTCGGTTTGATGTGGTGCTTGCCATGCCTGCTCATGTGAAATACATCAACAGCATAAGAAATAACGTTCAAGCGAGCACCTCCTGATTCAAGTGGCACCAGCAACCTCTTTGTAAAGCACCTCCAAACAATAAGGAGAAACAAAGGCAAACTTAAGACTACCCCTTTTATAAACTCAAGAACTACACTATGCTCAGCATCACGTGCTCAGCAGCAACTTATTTTTTCCTATCACGTTGTTTACGAGCTTCTGACAAGCTCCCCTGGTCTCGATATCCTGAAGTTCCACACTTCCAACTACCACAGAGCACTAATCTGGATTTAAATAAAAAAAAGCTTAAACTTTGTTGGAAATAAAAGTAGCTGAAGACCACACTGTATTATTGTGGCTTCAAAGAGTTCCAGAATACACTGGAAAAGCTAGGTGCACAGACACAATTTTCATGGATCATGCAGGAAGCTCAAGAACAAAGGTGAAAGCTTTTGGAGAAGTTAAAGAAAACCAGGGGATTCTTACCTCAAGCAAGGGATTGTCTTATGCGAACGGGACAATGCTTCTTGATTCAGGTGAGCACTGGATCCACAAGGCATTTTGTCTATGAAAAAGGGCACCAGTAAATACAAGAGGAAACTAAGGTTTTGAGTTTACCGTGAAGAATTTTACCAAAAATAAATTCTTTTCATTTTCTCTGCTATATCATAATACTATTTGCACTAGGCTACTATGTTTAGTTTCAGGTTTTTTTTATGCTGGCAATTAGAGAAACTTGTGCACACACAATACTGTCAGCCTAAATTTGGAATTCAAAAAAAAATGATAAAAAGATTATCAAAATCTACCAAAATCCACTATCTAAACTTAACATACAGAATATTTTACTTCAGGCCAAGCCAGCATATGAGAACTGTAGGACTCCATCTGAAGCCTTGCACTTAAAACTGAGATGACAAAACAATTACTTGGCCCAAAATCGGAGTAAAATAAGAATGCAGAAAACCGACTTTATCTGAAAGCACTAAATTTTACCTGCTGTTGTTTTTACCCATGTTAGCACTGCAAAAATCAGGATATGAACATCAGGGCAGTTTCACACAGCCCATGAGGTAACGTGAAAAAGCAACGAGTGAAGAACTTGTCGCCAGCCTTACCGACTTGCAGCATTTCTATATCCTCCTCACAATCTGCGGGTCTACGAGACAATCGGTCAGCAGCAGTGAGCGGAGTCTTGAGTAAAAACAAACAAAAAGTCACCATGCGAGTACAACGTGAATGCCAGTCCAAAGAAACACATAATCCTCCTGAAATTTAATCCAACTCTCGTGATACAGGGACTAGAGCTTACTGCTTCAGAAGCCAGCCCACAAGAGCAACCTTGTATAAGGTCAGTATCACAACGACCTGTTTTTAAAGTGCTCGCTAACCTCTTGTGCAGGTTCTGCACTTGGTCCTGCATTGCTGACCGGAGCCCTCCTGCGCTTATTTGCTGCCCTGGCTGGAAGTGTCCCCAGGGCAGAAGCCTCTTCAAATCTCTCTTTACCCTTACAGTTGCGATAACCTAGAAAAACAAGACCATACACAAACATAATTTAAAAGGGCATTATAGCTTTAACGTAAACAAAAATTCACCTCCAAACACGAGTTAGAGGAAAAGTTCATTTGTAAACATTAATAAGCCAAGACTGTTGAACACAGGATTGCATTAGAGATTAATTGATAGGACACAACAGCACTGGCTTGAGGGTAAGCACGTGAGGGAATCGATGGTGCCACGTTCCTAGAAGCAGACTGAGTCTCATTAGCAACACTTAGAAATATCGCTGAGACTCGGGGGTGGTTGTGCTGCCAAAAGGAGGAGCGAGACATCAGTTTGGTATATTTTTAATGGCTTTACAGGTGTGAAAAAGTGTCTTCCATTTTCAATCCAGATCTATTTTCCTTGACCTTTCCAGCTGGCTACAATCAGAAACATCGTTATTTTTGCTTGCCTGCCCTCAATTTAAAGTAAATTTGTTTAATATCCCAGATTCAAAACGGAGATGCAGCCTCAGGCTCCTGCTGCAGAGATGGTCACAAGGAGAAAGGAAGGGCTTGGAAAGCCACTTTGAATAATGGTGATTATGTGCAAAAAGCCAAAGTCTTCCAACGTGCATAAAGCCTAAGGGGGAAAAAAGTGTATTAATTATTTCTATAGTGCAAAATACCTGATTTGGGCTTTTTGGCTTGAGCCTGCTCAGGATCTTCCTGAGGTGACTGAACGCTGAGGAAACAACAGGCAGAACAGAGCGTCACAATGAGCTTCTATGAGACTGAGCTGCCCTCACAGGGCCCAAATTTCCCAGAGTAGCTTCCATGTCCCAATGTTTTCCCCTGCAGCACCTCTGGGATTGTGTCAGGGACAGGTACGTGAAGGTTTCTTCTGCCACCACGGCAGCATCTCTCGTCAACAGACCACACTGCTTTCTCAGGCAACAGACCACTCACTTCTCCCCCGACGCATGTTTGACCTCCTTCTCACATTTATTTTATTAATGTCTCCTTATATCATCTTTTTTTTTAAGCTAGGAACACAGATACTACTGAGTTTAAGGTGTAAAGTTTGCCCCCAGGAAAGGGGCATGCTAAAGAGCCCCAGCCAACTCATCACATGAGATGTGATATCACTCCATTATGTAAGCTGCAAAATGGGAAAAGCTTAAGAAGAAGAAAATAATTCCTTTTAAACCGCTATGCCCCAAACACAGCCGGCGCCATCGCTACCTTCCTTTGGTATCGGGCACGCACGCATACCAGTATCTTTAACTGCAGCATCTGTGCAACGCAGGCTCTGTTTGCTACTGATGCACTAACAAAACCGGGCAGAAAACACGTGGCCGCTCTGCGCTTTAGTTTTGAGCCTGGGAAGGGATTTTTCCTAGTTTCCCCCACCTCAACTTTAACAACTGCCACCTGCCCCAGCCAACAACATCTTTTTGCCTTAAAATTCCCAGGGAAGGCTCACAAAGGCCACCTGACAACATCTTAGTATATCCTGCTGTTCCAGCGCACCCTCTAGCTTAAAGGGAACTAAAGGCCCTGCTTGGCAGCAGCAGGACAGCTCCTGCAGTCACCTATGCCGCTTCCTGCTGCGCTTCATCCTAGCGGCCCGGCGCTGCCGCTCGAGGCCGGGCTCCCCGCGCCCACCGAGGCGGGTTTCCCGCGGGGATGTCGCTCCCGCGGGGCGGCGGGGAGCTCCGCGCCCCGAGAGGCGCCGCACGGAGCCAAAGGCTCCCCGCGGAGGAGGCGGCCGTGCCGGGACCCGCGGGGCAGCAGCCGCCGAGAGGCCGAAGGCTGCGAGACGCCGGGGCAGAGCGGCGGCAACGCGCTCTCCAGGGAAACAGAACCCTGCGTGTTTGCCGCTCTGCCCGGGCAACGAACCGCCGGGCAACGAACCCCGCGGCCGAACCGCCGCGGCCGAGCCCCGGGGGCCGAGCCCCGGGAGCCGAGCCCCGGGAGCCGCGCCGCCCCCCCCTGCGGCGCGGGCCG